AAAGTAAGATCTAGACTTCCTGCTGTACATTGTGTGGAATTTGACAAATTTATGACATCACATATCTACCACTGCAGTATTACATGTGATAATTTTGTCATCCTTTAAAGTCTTCTATTTTTTACACATTCTCGCCTTCTACCCAAATTCCTAGCAAATACAAATTTCTTTTACTTTGTTTAATGTTTGGCCTTCTCCAGATTATCAGATAAATTAAATTATATATTGTGTAGCTTTATCAGACTGGTTTATTTTACCTAAAAATATGCATTTAAGTTTCATTCATGTGCTTTCGTGATTTGATAGCTGTTCTTTATAATGGCAAAATTATTCCATTATGTGAATGTACCAGATTGTTTATTCACCTACAGACGAACTTTTTGAAGGTTTATAGTTTTGGGAAAATATAAATGAAGCTATTGTAATTACTCATGTGTGCTTTTCTTTGTGGACATACTTTTAAAGTCAGTTAGATAAACACTTAAAAGCATGATTGCTGGATTGCATAGTCAAAGTGTGTTAGAATTTGACTAAAATTGCCTCCTAGTAGTTGTGTGAAGTGGGGGGCACTCAGCTGACTCTGTCTCCTTGTGGGAGGAATCCCAGTGCTCAGGGTGGGGCCTCCTGGGTCGATAGAGGCCCAGTTCCCTCTCAAGCCTTAGGGACAGCAGCACTTCTGCTCTGGATGCACACTAGGAAGCAGATGCCCCAGATGTGCACTGCCCAGGACCACAGAGATGCTCAGGACTCAGGTAGGAAGGGGCTCACTGAGGAGTAGATGTGGACTAGACAAGGAGGGGAGCTTCTGAATAAATCCTGGGTCCTCCTTTAGCCGAACCATATCAAACCATCGGGAGACCTTCCACTACATTTTGGTGACCCATACCCTGAACTTTCCAAACTCTAACACAGTAAACTTGGTGAATTTAGCTGGAAGTGTGAAAAAACTGAAATGAAAACGACTCAAGTTGATTGTGTAACAATTGATCCTTTTCCAGGGAACATCCCAACAATATTGATAATAATAATGTTAATGTCAAAATCCACACACTGTCAACATGATGGAAGTGTGTCTCATGGTATAATGAATTTATTTACTTGAAAATTGTGTTCACACCAGTCTTTTCCCACAGAAAATCCCACTTTCTCTTCTCACACAGTCAATTTCAGCAGCCTGATCCTCAGAGTTGGAAGCACCGTGTCCTCAGGATATAGGAGGGGAAATCACTAGCATGTCCCTGGAGTCCTGGTGCCAGATCCTTCTCCATCTTTTTGGGAATCAAATGCGAATATTCTGCATCAATTTGAATAACTTTATACATAAATTATGATTCAGTTTACAAGAATATTACCTCACACACATACACACATAGGTTTTTAATATTTGTTTGTTGTCTTTTCCATAATAATCTCTTATAGTGTTTTACATTTATTTAACGTATTAGATTTATTTTAATTTCATGTCGGTTTCCTCATTCCTTCCTCTTTGTATTGCATTTCCCTATAACTATCACCTATTTTATATACTTTGCAATGTAAAGCTCCCGGTGCAGCCAGCAGGGGGAGGAGAAGAATGGGTCACACTCCTGACCTCCCTGTACAGCCGCAGGTTCCCAAACGCAGAGGTCCCTGCTCTGCACCTTCCCTGGGGACAGCTTTCTTATTGTGGGTCCGTGTTTAATTAATGAGAGTTTCTGTTTCAGGGGTGCTGACCCGGTACCAGCTACTGAATCCACTGCAGGAGTGGAAATAAGCTTCCAAAACACAGTATCACCCGAGAGACAACGGAGTTCATCCCTGTAGTGCCATGTGAATTCCAGATTCCTGAGCAGAGCCCCAGAATCATGAAAACTTATCATATGTGTCCGTGCTGTGGGTATCTGTGTCCCTGCACGTTCAGCTACATGTGTGGTGCCACTTACACTTAATGAGATGAGATTCCTGCTGCTTCTGTCGGGTCACTGGTGATGTCTGAAGCTACTTCTGGTTTCTGCTTTAATATGTAAAGAGCATGTCAATCATCACCCACATTCTTACAAAATATAAGCCTGGAAAATTGATTTCAATGATTTCTTATATGAGTTGAAGAAATGAAATTGCAGGAAAACCTGGACCCCAAAGCTAGAAAGACATTACAATAGTGATCACCAGTCTGATGGAACAAACTTTCTGTGGCAATAAATACCAAATTGTAAACAAGACCTAAGGTCACACCGGCAAGGATTAGTCAATCATCCCTACAGTTAAAAAAAATAGAATATGTTGTAACTTCCACAGGGTTTTTCTGTTTCTGTAACAGTTAAACGACACTGTCCTGAATAAGCAATTTAATACATTTGCAGCTCATGGAACTCCAGGCATCGGTAGCTGTGCCCTGTTCCACAGCCATAAATAGAGCATCGATTGGACAAAGACTATTTCTGTAACTTTCTCTGAGAAGAAACACTGGACCATGACTGTCCTGCCAATTCCTGAGGCTGTGCACTGTGGGTCTTCTGTCCCGCACAAACCCTTTGATGTGCAGGCCCAACTGCAATTCATTTATTCTTAAGTCTTCACCCCAACGCAAACCTGAAATGCATGAACATGTGTTTGCTATTACATATGGGAGCCTGCACACCTGTGAATATCCATAGCTCCTTCTAGGCTGCCTGAGTGTGTCCACTTGGCCAATCCATTTGTTTGAATTTATTCTCATCTCTCCCTATCTTGAAGTGCCTGCTCACAGTCTCTGTGGGAGGCTTTCTTTCAACCTGTTAAGATGGCTGCCCTGCAGCTTCAATCCTTTATCAGAAATAAAGTCTCCTTTCTAAATTTATAAATTGGGTGATTCTTTGGTTAGCAGCACAAACTGGTGAAGTTCCATGGTAATTTCATAAATATCTGGAGACAGATGTGACAGGGTTAGGGTAAGATCTCCTGGGACCACACCACCCCACACTGTTAGGAATCCCTCCAGAAACGTCTGGGTCCTCAAGAGACAATCCCAATAAGTTGTCTCATGGCTCTGTCATCAGGAGAACTATTCACTGACAAATATGCTCAATCTTCCTCCAGACAGACTCTACAGAGAAAAATACTTTTCAAGATCTTTATTCTATGTGAGGGAAGGGATTAATTTCCATCCCAGACAGCTTCATCTGAGCCTTCCCTGTGTCATGGAAATGGGGTACATTAATAAAACAACTGGGATAAGACTCAAGAAATTATCTGTGGATGCTGCATCCAGGATGGAGTACAGGATGGAGGAAAATCTGCTGTACCACTGGAGACTGCTTGTAAATGGTGAAACTTGGAGAAAGAACAGCAAGAAACCATTGGAATTCAATTTTCAAGAATATATACTGCTCCCCTACCCAATAATCACCTCCTCAACAACATGATTAATCTAGGATTAGAAGAGAAAAGTGTTGGCAATGCACCAGACTCTGTCCAAGGACTAGAACTCAGGGAAACCAAGGCAGTGGGAGAGAACAAGTCAAGGAGAGTGAAGCGATTTAAAGCCTCTGAGACCAGCAGCTTCAGGACCAAGTCACGACCCTCTCCCTCAGTGGCCCTAAGATCTGCATCTCGTGGGGCATCTGCAGGGTTCCAGGTGAGAACTGGCAAAAACAAGGGGAAGACACATTCCCAATCTCTGTGGTACTGAGCTTTTTTAGCTCTGTTTTGAAAAAAAAAACAAAACAAAAAACAAAAACCAACAACAACAAACATTAACAGGACTAGGGTCAGAGTTGGAAGCACTTCTCTTTGCAAGACACTAGGAAGAAGGGAAAATTTGAGGCTCATTACTGGTGCAAATATGCCACTGTGTGTATGTGTGTCTGTGTCTGTGTGTGTGTGTGTGTGGGGATTTGAACATAGGACTGTGTGTGTTGTGTCTTGTCTGTGTGTGGTGTGTGGTGGGGGACTTTGAGACATAGACTGTGTGTAAAGTTAATAATCTGACTGATCTTCAACCAGCGAATCATAAAAAAGAGGCCTGCCCCAAATTTGTCATCAGTTCCTGACTTCTCATGTGTCTGGACCGTATCAAGTGCATCTCTGGAGCTCCAGGGAAGGGCTCCCTGGTGGGCTTTAGTCATTCCTGCGCTGTGCTGTGCTGAGGTCTTCCCTGTAATTATGTTGGGGTTTCTAAGGCCTATGTTTCTATTCTAAGAGCTGTTGTGGAGAAGTTAATCGCCTGGTCGCTGAAAGCATTCATGAGCCAGGGCACTAGCCACTTCTACTAGGCTTTGAGATGCTGGGGGAATACTCCTGTCTGTAAGACCAGACAGGAACTGTCCATGCAGGGGCGGAAGCTGAAGCTTTCAGTGGGTTTTGGGGATGCACCCCTGCACAGAGATCCAGCCCTGGAGCAGGAATACAGGAGCTGGGGAGTGTTTCCTCTTAGGGACTGGATATTCCTTATTTCAAAGCAATGATGATATAAAAGTTAAATAAATATTTAGCAAGTACTGATGTGTTAAATAAATAAATATTTAGCAAGTACTGATGTGTACATATACAAGCATTCTCTTGTATATGTAGTCTATACCTACTTCAAAAATTAATGTAAACCACCTTTAAAAGAAGAAATGTCTAGACCCTTCAAATGTATTTATAGTCAGGAATTGAGGGGTTGTTTTATTAACTCAGTGGGTGTTACTATCGAGAGACACACTCATCCCAGAAGTTAGATGGGCAGAGGGCAAGGCTCAGGAAAAGTTCACCTTGACAGTGAGCCACAGGAACAAGGAATCACATTGAGGACCATGTCCTGTGAGATTCTGGGTTTCTGTAAGACGAGTTCTGTCTTCATGGACATCTGAGCATGTCTGAGAACAAATATCATTAACCAATGATCATGGCATGGAGCTCAGCATCCCGCTGTGGCGTGGTCCACGTGTCACCTATCTTCTTCCCCAGGGTGGGGTGGCCTGAGCTATGAAATACCTGCCTCATGAATATGCAAATGCACTGGTGTCTACCGAGGTAAATACAGATCTCTCCTTGTCCAGAGAGCATCACACAACAACCACATCCCTCCCCTACAGAAGCCCCAGAGCACAGCACCTCACCATGGACTGGACCTGGAGGATCCTCCTCTTGGTGGCAGCAGCTACAGGTAAGAGAATCCTCAGTTCCAGGGCTGATGAGGGACTGGGTCCGGTCAAATGAGATCTCATACACTCCTGTGTACTCTCCACAGGTGCCCACTCCCAGGTGCAGCTGGTGCAGTCTGGGGCTGAGGTGAAGAAGCCTGGATCCTCAGTGAAGGTCTCCTGCAAGGCTTCCGGATACATCTTCACTGACTACTACATGCACTGGGTGCGACAGGCCCCTGGACAAGGGCTTGAGTGGATGGGAGAAATCAACCCAAAAACTGGTGGCACAAACTATGCACAGAAGTTCCAG